TGACCAGAGGAGGTGAGTGCTATTCTAAGCCAAAAGCCCAGCAGAATAGCAGAAGCTGTCAAAATATTTGTAACACTGCCTTGGACAGGATGCTTCTGAGGATGAGGCCCTGTTCACCACCTGGGTTTGGATGGCTTGTGTCATCCTTTGTGACAGTTGCCCTTCTCTGCATGCACTTACAGTGAGGTGGAAGAGAAAGGACACTTTGGCTTTGGTGTTACACACAACTTGGGTTTGGATTTGAGCTCACTATTCACCAGCTTTGTGACCGTGGGTAAATATCTTTCCTTTTCTGAGCCTCAGTTTCTGCATCTATAAAATGGGGATAATAATTCCTACCTCTTATTGCACATTGAATAAGATCCAAGCTCCTTCAATGCTCTTCAAGACTTGTCTCTTTGTACTTATGAAACCTCTGTTCTGGCCTGTTCTTTCCCTTAAAATATCTGGGTGCTTGTAGTCCTCCACTCCTTCTCAGCAAATATCCTATAGTATCTCATCTTTGTGCCTTTGGCCATTTGGGTCTGCCTGCCTGGAATTGTTTTGCTCCACCTTCTTGACTGATTAGGATCTGGGTCCTAGGAAGGTAATAATTAGAATCATATTACAGTTGAAGAAACAGGCTCAGAGAACTTAACTCACTTGCTCCAAATCACATGCTAGAAAATGGAAGAGCTGGGATTTGCATACATGCCCTACTGGCTTAATAGCTTTGGATTTTCCCATAAGATCACATGGCCTCCCTTGGAGCACCTTAAAAGGGGTGAGAACCCAAGAAGGAAGAGAAAAGAGTGTTGGAGCTTCCAGCAATAATGCCAATGGTGGCTCTGAGCATACCCCTGGCTGCTGTGGCCAGGGAAATAAACACAAGTTACACCTAAGAAGTCATCTGGCTTTGCCAGCTGGAGGTTGTATATTCAGTTCCTCTTTGAGAGCTGTCTGCAGAATCATTTTTTAAAGAGTGAGGCCTACATTGATGCCAACAAGTCAGTTGGAGGCTTTGTGCATCAAGCAACTCTTCTAGGTCAGCTGAAGGTCAGCCATGAGCACTGCCACCCCAGGGATAGACCTGGGAGATACCCTGGCATAGCAGGAAAAGGTGGTGCTTTGGGTGCTATTGTGGCCCCATGAAACTCAAAGATGTCCCCAATCAGATGTTCAGAGATTTGTATCACAGTTCAGATTTGTAGCAAGAGGTGAAGTTGAAAATGCCTTTGCCTCTTACAGTAACAGGGCATGAAACTGGGAGTTCTTGCTGGCCACTACAGTCCTGCCCTTTCCCTGTACTCTGTCTTTCTCTCTTTCTTTCTTTTTCTACACACACACACACACACACACACACACACACACACACACACACACACAGAGTCTAGTCTTGCCATACTCCAGAGGTGGTATGGGTAGCAGCATTATAAGGAGGGGAGGGGCACAGAAGGAAGAAATCTGAGGGACTGGATTCCCCTTGAAGCTTTGCGTAAAGAAAGTGAGGCATACCCTGCACCTCTCAGGGCACCAATTTCCTCGGCAATAATATAAGGCTGATGGAACTCTTAAGGTTGTAAATGGAATGAGAGATAATTTTCATCCATTGCCTATTTCAGCATCTGGCATGCATAGGTGTTCAGTAAATGGTATTTTATCCTAATGTGAAAATTATTTAGGCAATGTAGCCATAATCAGTGTTTAATTCTGGTCTAGTGTGAACTGTTTAATCTTTATAAAATCTCAAATAATCCCGATAAGATGTCTTCTACGTGCAATTAATGCGGAAGCAGTCCTTTATTTTGCTCAGCAGGGGTTTGGCCTGAATGGCAGCTGGACCTGGAGTCTCAGCATGCATCTCTGGTTGGTTTCCTTCCTTTCAGGATGAAACCGGTATATCCTTGCTCCTGTCCACTGCTGCCTCATTGTGTCAATGTCTTGATTAAAAAGCTGATTTTTCACATTTCTCTTTGGATTTTACATGTGGGGTTTCATCCTTTCCACAGTGACATTATCTCTGTTTTCACGGCTTCAAGAAGCTCTTGCAACAAAGACTCCGACCTTAGGGAGCCTTGCGGAAACCAGACCTGACCCCAATTCCAGAGAACTCCATCTGTTGAGGAGGGTGGGGTGGTGCTTTGATCTGCACTCAGGAGACTCTCAAAGACCTGAGTACATCAAGAGCTGATTATTCCACTGGCTGGTTACTCATTCCCTTGGCTTTTCTTCCACTGGTTTTTCTTCAGTGGCTTGGATGAAAAACGGACCTATCATTCTCTTCTAGCTCTGCCCTCTATGGTCCTAAGGCAAGGATCACAAACCCCAATGCAGGCCCTACAGGTAACATAAATGGCAAGGTACAGATACGTAAACTGAAGAGCTCATTTTATGCATAAAGGCATTGTATTCATTAATTAAATAAATAAACCAGCCAATTAACCACTGTCCAAGCCAACTGGCTCATTGATCAGATTTGTCTCAGAGTATTAGAGTTTGTAATTTTTGTTCTAAGGGTTTTTCACTTCCTGTTTAGCTCAGTCTGAAAATCTAGCCCTGGAAGAGCTGTATTAGCTCTGCCTCTCAGACAATCCATATTGCCTTTGTAGCATCCTCAGCAAGGGGTTAGGTTTCCAGTTGAATGCTTCAGCAAGGGAGCCCACTACTTCAGTTCATCCACAGACCTTCCATGAGCAGGGGCCACAGCCAGGCACAGGGGTGACCAAGGCTGATGTGGTCCCTGCCTTGTGTATCTCACAGTATTAGGAGGACAAGATGGCCTGATGGCTCTGTCCTAAGGCTCCTCCTGACATATAGCCCAAGAATGTCCCCTGTGGGCCAGTCCATGGTTCTAGACCTTCCCTTGGGAGTCTCAGTAAGGCCAAGCCCATTCACATAATAATGCCCCTTCGGGCATTCAAAGACATCTTCAGTTTCCCTTTGAGTTGCTTTCCCTTGAAGGTTTGAGGGGGAGCCAACTCATTTGATTTTATCATTTCTCACTTCCCACATCTGCTCCATTATAAAGAACTATTGATTCTATATCCTGGAGGTATCTGTAACTCATCTCCTTCTATCCATCTCCACTGCCCCCCTCCTAGGCCTCATCCCCAGGGTCTTGCCTGGGTTATTTTAGGGTCTCCTACCTGGTTTCTTGTCTCATGACCCTCCTATCCCTCTCTAGCAGCAGCCATTAAACTTCCAAAGGCTCCCATTCTTTGAGAAAGTGTGCCCAAACCTGACCATCACCCATGGAGCTTGACCATTAGGCTCTGTCTAGGGTTTGCTTCCACAGCACTCATCATACGACCCTTCCCTGTTGTAGTGGTCCGAATAGCGCCTAGTGCCTCCCCCACCAACACTCATGCTCCCCTCAATACTCACATCCAACGTGGTACTATTTGGAAATAGGATCTTTGCTGGTGTAGTTAAGATGAGGTCCTACTGAATTAGGGTGGGCCATAAATCTATGACTGGTGTTCTTAGAAGAGGAGAATACACCTGTCCTTTTAAGAAGGGCTTTGTGAATATGGAGACAGAAATTAGAGTCAAGTGGCCACAGCCGAGGAACTCCTAGACCTAACAGAAGCTGGAAGAGGCAAGGAGGGATTCTCCCCCAGACCCTCTGGAGAGGGCATAAGACTCCCAGCCCTTTGATTTCAGACTTCTAGACTGCCTTCATAATATAATAAGATAAAACAGTTTTAAGTAAAAAGAGCATTTCTGAGCATTTGCTACATAATAGGCAACGTGCTAAGAAGATATATACACATATAAGTATGTATATATATGTATAGATATAGACAGATATAAATACACACATATGTGTCACACATTTGTGCATACACACATATATATACATACATATATTTTATTTTTATTTTTAATTATGGTAAAGTGCATATAACATGCAATTTACCATCTTGACCTTTTTTTTTTTTTTGAGACAGAGTCTCACTCTATTGCTCAGGCTGGAGTGCCGTGGCACAATCTCAGCTCACTGCAAACTCCACCCCACCAGGTTCAAGCAATTCTAATTCTCCTGTCTCAGCCTCCTGAGTAGTTGGGATTATAGGTGCCTGCCACTGTGCCTGGCTAGCTTTTGTATTTTTAGTAGAAACGGGGTTTCGCCATCTTTGCCAGGCTGGTCTTGAACTTCTGACCTCATGATCCACCCGCCTTGGCCTCCCAAATTGCTGGGATTATAGGTGTGAGCCACCCCACCCGGCCATCTTCACCATTTTTAAGTGCATAGTTCAGTGGCATCAAGTATAGTCATACTGTTGTGCAACCATCTTCACCATCTGTCTCTTGATCTTGCAAAACTGAAATTCTGCACCCATGAAATGGTCACTCCCATTCCTCCCTTCCTCCAGCCCATGGCAACCACCATTCTACTTTTCATTTCTATGAATTTGACCATTCTAGGTACCTTACGTAAGTGGAATAATACAGTATTTGTTTTTTGTCACTGGCTCATTTTACTTAGGATAATGCATTCAAAATTCATCCATTGTTGCAGCATGTGTCAGAATTCCCTTCTTTTTAAAGCCTGAATAATGTTCTACTTTATGTATATCACAGTTTGTTTATCTATTCAGCCATCAATGGACCCTTGGGGCTGCTTCAACTTTTTGGCTACTGCAAATATTGCTTCTAGATGTACAAATATCTCTTTGAAACCCTTCTTTCAATTACTTTGTGTATATATCTAAAAGTGAAATTATTGTGTATATATACACACATACACATAAACACACACACACACACACATGCATATGCACATAACACTTTAAAATTCCAATTTAGTCTTTCAATGGAGACTTTATTATATCCATCTTATAGATGATGTTCCTGAGGTTGGTAGGCCATGTGTAAATTTCATAGTGCTAGGTTTCTCCTTTCTCATTCATTCATTCTCACATGATGACAGTGAAATTTCCCAGAGCTTGGAATCAATGTGAACAACTGCACGTCACCCACCACTACCCTTTCTCACTGGCTAGAACAGCCTTGCTTACCTCATTGTCTCGGTCTTTCTCTAGGAAATGGCGGGCCACGTGGCTGGGTAAGATATTCCGGAGCATGTTCTCATTGTGTTCCCTCAGCTCCTTCATCTCATTGATCTCCTCTTTGGCCTGCACTCGCCAAAGGAAGTCCAAGCGGGCCGTGTACTCCAGCTGCAGTTCATGTGAGAGAAACAGAAGAACCAGGTAAACTTCTGAGGTGTAGGCTTCAGGTGCACACAACTGGGAGGCAGGAAAGCCTTCTCTGGAACTCTTTGCAAATGAAATAGAGCCTCATCTGAATATTTTGGGAGTCATTTTGTTGGAAGTCAAGGGATCAGAGAATGATTAGATTTCACAGAGGTGTGTGCCTGCCCTTCAAAGCATTATTGCCCCTGTGATTTCATATTTGTTTGTGTGATTACCTGATAATGTTTGTGTCCTCTACTAGACTGTAGGTGTTGTATGGTGTATTAGTCCGTTCTTGTGCTACTAATAAAAACCCAAGACTGGGTAATTTATAAAGGAAAGAGGTTTAATAGACTTACAGTTCCACAAGGCTGGGAGGCCTCACAATCATGGTGGAAGATGAAGGAAGAGCAAAGGAACCTCTTATGTGGCAGCAGGCAAGAGAGCTTGTGCAGGGGAACTCCCGTTTATAAAACCATAAGACCTCATGAAACTTGTTCATTACCATGAGAACAGTATGGGGGAAACTGCCTCCATAATTCAGTTATCTCTACCTGGCACCACCCTTGACGTGGGAATTATTATTATTATTATTATTATTAATTTTTGACGTGGGAATTATTACAATTCAGGGCGAGTTTTGGGTGGGGACACAGCCAAATCATATTATATGGTCAGAGGTGCTTCTATCTGTTTGACTTTACATCCTTGCTGTTACTGACTGAATGTCTGTGTCCCTCTCAAATTCATATATTGGAGCCCTAACACCCAGTGTGATGGCATTTAGAGATGGAACCTTTGGGATGTAATTAGGGTAGAGGATGTCATACTGATGTGTCCCCCAGGATGAGAATACTGCCCTTATAGGAAGAGACATGAAAGTACTTGCTCCTTCTCTCTCCACGTGCACACACTAAGAAAAGGCCAGGTAGGGACACAGCAAGTAGGCAGCCAGTTATTTGCAAGCCAGAAAGAGAGACCTCATCAGAAAGCACATCCTTCCAGACCTTGACCTTGGACTTCTCAGCTTCCAGGACCAGGAAAAGATAGATTTCTGTTGTTTAATACACTCAGTCTATGGTATTTTGTTATGTTGGACAGCCGGAGATACACTAATACACTTACCATGTAGTAACATGTCTAGCACAGGGTAGGCACTTAATCAATATTTGTTGGCTCAATAAATAAGTTATCATAATAAAACCAGCTAACACACAGCGCTTATTGTATACCAGGAACAGTTCTAAACAATATACATATATTAAATCCTTTAATCCATACAGCAGCCCTAATACAAAGGTACTATTATCATTTCTTATTTTGCAGATAAGAAAATCAAAGCAAACATGATTAAGTAACTTGACTAAGATCACACATGAGTTAGTGAAAGCCAGGATTTGAACTTGATTCAAAAATCAGAATATAGAATCTGAGTTCTTAACCACTAGGAAATATAGAAGAAATGAATGAACTCATTAAGAAGGATTACTGATTTAGTTGCTAGACAGATATAGCTTAGAGTTCTAGTTCTACGTTTATACACTGTAACCCTGGGCTACTTATTTGATCTCAGTTTCCTCCTCTCTGAAATTGAGGTGAACATCAGTGGCCATGCAGGGGCGAAACAGGCATTATAGGAAGTTATAGATATAGCACATGGCATATAGTAGGCTCTCAATACACATTGGATTCCTCTTGTTCTAGCCTCTCCTCTCATGGGAAGGTGCACAGTGTCTTTTCCAAAGGATCTCACAGCCCATTTTTACCACAGTTCTGGGTATGTCATTATTTCAGTCTTCAACTATTGAAGTGAACCATATGCTGCCCTGGTAAACACGTGGCTAGCTGCCCTGACTTCAAGGGCTTAGACAGTTCAGATAGTTTCTTTTCTATTTAAAAAAATTTTAAAGTCTCAGTGGATGGCAAAAGTATGGAAAGACCATATGCACAAGGTTATCCATTCAGCAGAATTGTTAATAACAAAGTCTGGGAACAAACCAAATGTTCATTTCATTGGCTGAATAAACTTTAGTACAGAAATATCATTGCACATAATGCAGCTCCTAAAGAGAAATGAAGACTGTATCTCTATACTTGAGGACCTGGTCTCCCAGGGGAGAAAAGTATATACAGTTACGCTATCATTTTTCTAAGAAATATTGATCTCTCTTTCCACATACATGCACACACACACATTTACTTATTAAAACATTAAATTATAAACCATTTTACATTTTATAATGGTTTTTACATTTTATAAGATGGTTTATATTTTAATCTATGAAATGACAAAGAAAGGGAATGGGGTGGGAAAACAGGGATAGAATTTAAAAATCTTCAATTATGTCATGTTTTAAGTAAACAACTTTAGAATCATTACAATATTTTACTTAATTATAAAAACGAATATATTCTCCAAAAATTCTGTAAAAACAACCAACCAAATAGACAAACAAATAAATGAGCCTACACAGAGAGAAACTATATCAGATGTCCTTTTGCTCAATAATTTGATGACATACTCCCAGAGGGAAATACCCTATGGATAAAAAGAGCTCCACAAGAATGTCAAAACTGTTTACAATATTGTAGGTGATAACGTTTGTAGTATTTACTTAGAGTATTTTAGTGAATCACAAGATAGAGTAAATGAGTAATTGTGATGGTGTCGTTAAAACTGGAATTTTGGGGAAGAGAATGGGAGCTGCAGATATAAGATTGATGAAGTTAAGTCAAAAGCTTGTGGCCCTCATTATGAAATGGAAGTATCACACTGTGAACTCATGATGTATAGATTTTCTAACTCTGCCCGCTGAAATCAGGTTCTAGAAACAATGAAAACTTAGCAGCAGTGATAACTCCCAGTATCCAGATTGTGGTTTCTAAATATCAATTCCTACAAAAAAAAATTCCCATTCTTTTCAGAGGTGGCCAAATTTTGGGTACCTTTAATTACATCTTATTTTAAGTAAATGACTTTAGAATCATGGTACACTATTGGAAGATTGTTTAATATGAGAAACCAGGAGTCTATCAGAGACTACCAGGGTTATGTCAAAATGATGCAAAAGCCAACTTGAATGAACTCCCACTAGTCAAAGATTTGACAGGTTCAGCTTAATAAGAATAATAATGATTGCAATGAATTGAAACACAGAAAATATGGTAAAATGCATTAATTCAAAATGGCACTTAAAAACCAGAACCTCATTGGTCACCTCTGAATGATGCTAGGGAAAAATCTTATGGGGAAACTTACAGAAAACACACTTACAGGGAAAAATATTCAGTATTTATTTTGCTTTATGAATCGTACTTCCAGGTAACAAATAGGAGATGGCTCCCTTTAATAATATATTCCAGTTAATAAATTATGGAGGACTGATAGGAGGATTAACATATCACTGTATAAAATAAGTGAATATAGGACATTATCATAAGTAGCTGTTAACATCACAAAAAAAGACAAGGAGACGTTATGTACCCCCTAATTGTAGTCTATAAAACCAATTAAATGTTTTGGAGAAATCACTGAACCTGAATCTCACCAAGCTTCTAGACATAAATACAGTACAAAAAAAAAAAAAAAACCCACAAAACAAAAACAAAGGACAGAGGAATTGCTTAAATTCCTTAGAGAATACAATCAATAAACTGCAAGAAATGATAGTTCTGGAAGGTTGAGTCTCTCAAGGTCACCCATTCTCAAAGTGGAATTGCTAGGACTCAAGCACAAATGTTTGGTTCCAAGGCTTGAGTCTTTTCTGCTGAGCCACACAATCTTAGGGACCTGCCTTTATCACACCCGGAAGTGACTGGAGACAGGACCTCATTAGTCTCTTTCTCTTTGTGGAGGCATGCCTTCCTCTGCTAGAAACGCAGATACTCAGGCAAAGCCCAAATCTCCGGGGCTGCCAGTGAATCAGGCACCAGGTGGGAGGCACCCAATTGTTTGCTCTCTCTGTTCGACATTGAGAACGTTCACCTGCCTCAGAGGAGGAAGTGTTTGGCATATCATATCCACATACATGCAAGATGAAAATTCCCAATTATTCAGTTACATAACCACCTCGGTCCCTCTGGAGATGTATAATTACACATGCTCCCACCGGATGCTTCTGCGTACCAGGCATCAATGGGCATTATTCAGCCCTATTAAAAATAGAAAGCCTCTGAGTCACAAAAGGAAACAGGTGGAAGCAGGGCGCAAGCCCAGGAGTGGGCAGGCTTGATTGGGGATTAACAGGATACCGAAGGGTGCTATAGATAGAAGACACCTGAAGTGATACAACCCTGCAGAAGCCGCTTCTATCACAGGGAGGCAGAGGCACGTGGAGGAAACAGAATGCAGCTAGGAGTTCGAGCATTTGGATTCCCATTCCAGTCTGGCGTTTCTTACAAGCTTTGTGACCTCGGGGGCTTGAATCTCTGCTCCTGTCTTAGGACCAGATGGCTAACAATGCCTGCCTTGTTTGTGTCATCAGCTTATTTTTAAGGTAAAATATTAACAGCTAAAAATTTTGAAAATTTATTACGTGTATGAATCACTGGGATAAGTGTATTACAATTCTCATATACCACTCTAACAACCTGATGAAGTAGAACCTGTTATTATCAGGCCCATTTTACAGGAAAGGAAACTGAAAATCAGAAAGGTAAGTAAATTGCTGAAGGTCATATAGGTACTGAGTGGCAAAGTTCGGGTTTGAATACTATCTGCCCAATTCCAAAGCCTGTACTTGTAATTGTTATAGTTATGGGATACGGGTATATAATTTCAAAACCCTTTGAAAGTTAAAAATAAAAGGGAATAAATATCAGATGTAACCTAATGCCAGTCACTCAGACCCTCAACACTTACATACCTTTACCTTACATATAATCTTAATGCCAGTCACTCAGACCTTTACTGAACACTTACATACCTGTACCTTACATATAATCTTAATGCCAGTCACTCAGACCCTCACTGAACACTTACATACCTGTACCTTACATATAATCTTAATGCCAGTCACTCAGACCCTCACTGAACACTTACATACCCGTACCTTACATATAATCTTAATGCCAGTCACTCAGACCCTCACTGAACACTTACATACCCGTACCTTACATATAATCTGAATACTATTAGGTTATCTGCTTTCCCAGGACAAATGGAGCACAGGATAAATCAAATCTGCATGTTTTTAGGGTACCATTTGAGCAAGGGGGCACTGACAGGGCATAAAGTAATTCTCTATGGTGACAAAAGAGCCAGAATCATTCTTCTTCTTATGGAACAACGACCCTCACCCAGAACTTGCTCTCAGCTGTTTCTGGGGATTTCTCACTTGTCAATTAGAAACCTATGTAATTGAGTGAGCATATGTTTTTCTGTAGAATGATGACCTTGTGGGAATCTGCCTTCGTAGTTCTCAAATGGATTGTCATTTGTATGTCAAACTAAGGCATTCTCCCTGTAAATGAAAGCCATCAAGTAGTGGAAGACAAGACACCAGTCCTCATAGATAGCTGCAAAGACCTAAATACAGGAATTCTAGAAATGGCTAGACTCTGACATTTGCCTTAGTGTTTCATCATAAATTCAGCCAAAATGGGAAAACAAGTCAAAGCATACTGCAGGATGGAGTGCCCTGTGTCGCTGTGTTTGTATGCAGACGGTGTCTTTGTTCTGCTCTGATCAGCCTAGTGAAGTAGAAAGAGTAGTGTTCTCACATAACACCCTAACAACTCAGTGAAGTAGAATTTTTTATTATCATGCCCATTTTACAGGTGAGGAAACTGAAAATCAGAAAGTAAGTTGCTGAAGGTCACATAGCTGCTAAGTGGCAGAGCTGGGGTTTGAATATTAGCATTTGGATTGAAGACAGATGAAGATTTGAATTCTAGTCCTCCTACTTACTAGCTGAATAGCCTTCCTTTTGTCATCCATAAAACAAGAGTAATAATAACTTCCATTCCAGGTTGTTGATAGGATTAAATGAGAAGAGAAAAACTACTAGGCACATAGTAAGAACTCAATAAATATTAATTATTTCCTCATTTCCTTCAGTTGCCAAGTTTTAATTTTACTGATATATTTTTTTCTTGACTACACTGTAAAATCCCCTTTATGACAAATGACTTTATACATGTTATCTCTGTGTTCTTGGGGTTTGGGGCTGTTTCATCCCTGTTTTCCCAGGGTTCGTTACCTCAGTTTCCATGGTGATTTCCCAGCGATGTGTTTCTATTTCTGCTCTGGCTGACAGTCCTCTTGCTGTGCTTTCCTCCTTTTCTGGTTATGGTTTTTTGAAGTATACACAGACCACAGAAAGATAGACCAAGGTCCAGAGAAAGGTGGTGAGGGAGGCAAGGCCTGATTTCTACCAGTGGGTAAAAATCCCCCCAAGTAATGAACGTTCGTGGATTGGAGTCCACCTGAAGAAGTCCTGGTCTTTGAGAGTCCTGCCAAGATGCTCCCATGAAGAATAATTTTCTTTCTCAAAGTCCCTAGCCACGTCTGATCCACATATAACATGTTTGCATTATTTGGGGTCAGCTCTACTCCAGAAGCCTGGACCATGACTGGGGTTTTGCACAGTTCTGCCCATAGCGTCCACTCCAGATTCTGGCAAAGGGTAGGGGCTCACGGAAAATGGAACCCGTATGGCAGGCATTTTATCTGATTAGGGCAGATCTGTAATGCAGTCTTTTCTATAAACAATGCAAGGCAGCACACAAAGTTCTACTCACAATAATCTCAAATCTTTCCTCAAGACAGCCCTACTTAGGTATTGCTAATTGATTTTAGAGTTGAAGAAGCTGAGGCTCACGGAGATAAGTAACTTGCCCAAGATCACACACTGCTGAGAGTGAGAACTGTGATGAGAATCCAGGCTCAGCTGAACCTAAATGTTTACCTAATAGCACACAACTTTTGTAGTAATAATTTTTTCGAGGCAACAATTTTATTGGGAAGGTTCCCAGTTTGTCTTAGGCAGAAATCGATAGCTGTTTCACTAGGACAATTTTTTGAAAGAGATGTATCCAAAGGTCATTAAAACCGATTGTTCACCAGATCATCTTTTCCAGCTTTGTTTTTCATTAGGTGGTCTTTATTAGGAATTGAATCATTAAGAATCACAACTTGCCGCAGGCAGCTAAAAGTTATTTGCTGTAAAGAGCAGCAGAGGCTTTTCAGGTCAGTTTTATGGCAACAAGAAATATCAGATAATAGAGCAGTCAGAGCAAAATGTTAGATTACCTGCTGTCCATGGTAGAACACAGCCAGAAGGAACATGGCCATCAGCAGCAGCGAGGCCTCCTTGGTCCCCAGGAAATCTCTGTTGGAAGAAGAAAGGCACTAATTACCATCAGGGGGCCTTCAAGGAGACCCATGAGAAACCCGAAGTTCAGAAAGGAGTGGTATAAAAAGAAAAAAAACACACATCTTTTTAGCACCTATTTTTGTGATAGTGGCTGCTCTAAGGGTTTGCACATTGGCTAATTCAGAAATCAGTTGACCCCCGAGGGTATGAGGTGACCCAGAACACAGATGGTGAAAGAGATTCTAGAGTCTAGCATCTAGATGGTACACTCACATTAGTAATGTCTTCTATGGGCAGAATATGTTATATAGATTTTAAATAGCCTTTATACTTTCCTATCACAAAATCCATGTGAAGGCGAGCATCTTTCCTCCCCACGTTTTTAGATATTATTCTGTTTAAGAGACCGGGATGTAATGTTTGCTATGTGGCAATCTTAATCCTAAGTGCTTTCATGCTTAAATCCATATGTTAATTCTATGAGTTGAACACTTTTAATTCTTGTATCAGTTTTCTTCCTTATATCAGTTCTATAAGTTGGGGACTATTGTTACCCCAATTTAAATTCTTATATCTTTTGATAAAGCCTTTGTTTCTTTTGTGCCCTTTCTTCTGGGAGTAAACCCCAGCTCTCAATGCCCAGTGCTTGTGGGGGCACAGGCTGGAGTGCTTCTGTCCTGAGCTGTCCTGGGTTCTCTAGGAGACCACACAGAAAGGCAGCTGATGATGGTCAGTGGTAAGCGTACACTTGAACACTGACGTGACTTTCATACTTCAGAGGAATTCAGAAGGCTGCCAAGGAAGCTGCCACTTGACTCAGAATGCTTTTTTTTTTTCATTTTGGCCTGGTGTGAGGCTTTCCTCAGGACAAGCTGGGCCAGGAGGCAAAGGGTGGGGGGAAGCAACGTTGGACTTGGAAATAAACTGTCCCCTTGATGGCTTTCACTGGCTAATGAAGACCCAAAATGAAGATGTTAAAGTACAGCTATCTCCATGGATGTCAGGACTTGCCTTACATCCCCTGGTGCCCTATTTCCCCCAGGTTTCTCTGTCTCAGGTAATGCCCCTTCATCTATTCACCCAGGTGCTTCAGCCAAAAGCCAAAACAAAACTAGGAGTCAGTTCTCATCACGCCAGTCCCATTCAGCCTGTAGCTAAATCCTGCACTCTCTACCACCAAAATAGATCCCCAGTCCATTCGCTTCTCCCCATGTCCCCCTCCACCACCAGAGTACAGCCACTGTGATCTCCAACAGCCTCCCAGCATTAGTCTCCAGTTTATTTTGTACATGGTTGCCAGAAAATTTTTTACTACTAAAACCAGATCATGCTACTCCTTTGTTTAATCCCCTCCCAACCACAAGTACCGATGTACCTGGAACTCACTCAGAAGTACCTGTGGTGTGGCTTAAGGATACAATGGGGTAATCACAGACTAGATGCAGTGTCTAGAGTGAGAAGTAGAATATGTAGCAAGGTACTCTACCAGGGCAATCTCAAGCTTTCCCTTTTCTGTTCTTGCTGGAGACCAGCAGGAACATCCCAGGGCTTGGGAAAGTGGGGGCTTGAAGCCAGCTGCTAAGACAAGCTTTGCATCTAGCTTTATGCTAAAAGAACTTCCTAGCTTATACTGGGCCAGGCAAAGTCCAACTTCTCAGGATAGGACAGGGACTTAGGAGTGGAAATGTAGGTTCTTAGGGAGGTATTATGCATATGAGGATTAGGAGAACCAAATAACTCTGTGAGCTGGGACAAGAGTCAAATCTGTGACCATCTTGGAGAAAAGATGCTAACAATAGATGATACTAATTATTGTGCTTCTATAGCCCCAGAGAAGCACATAATTATTGAGCATCTACTGTGTGCCTGGCACAGTATTCTGGGATATAGAGATGAAGAAGGTACATTGTCTTTGTCCTCAAAACATTAAGAGAAATAATCAAATACACAGATTATTTTATAATATGATACACTCCATGGAAAGGATACATTCTTGTTGCCATAGGAATACATGGGAGGAGAAAGCAACCCAGGTTGGGTTTTCAGGGAAGGCTGAAGAGCTGAATCCTAAAAGAGGATAAGACTTCACAAGGAAAAGGTAGGATGGATTCTCTAGGTACAGGGTATCTATTTGCTTAGCTAGTTGGTTTTTAGGTCTCTAGTATGGGGATTAAAAAGTAAATGCCATATGTCATGTTCAAAGCCACATGTAGACTCAGGAGGAGAGTGATGACAGAGCTGTCCACTGTGAGTGCTGAAGTGAAGAGGGCTGGACTGTGAGCCACACATTGTCACCCTGCATTTTAGGGCTGAGGCGCCATCAATTCCATCCATCCATCTATCTATCTATCCTTCCTTCCTTCCTGCCTTCCTGCCTGCCTTCCTTCCTTCCTTCCTTCCTTCCTTCCTTCCTTCCTTCCTTCCTTCCTTCCTTCCTTCCTCCATCCTTCGTTCCTTCCATCCTTTGTTCCATCCTTCCAGCCATCCACAGTCACCATCAGGCTTATTTTGAGGACATAGGCACATTCTAGTACCATCCTTTTATTCTTTCATGTCACTTAATTCTCTGCCCCTGAAGTTTGTGGACTACTGAAAAAAGATTAAAGACATGAGCTTTAGACTCATGAAGATCCATGTTCCAATATCAGCTTTTCTACTGACCAGTTATTTGACCTTGGAAAAGTCATTTAACATGTCTGGGCCTCAGTTGAATGTATCTAATAGTGTTTAGCTCTATAATTGTGAGGATTAAATGAGTCAATCATGGTAATGTACTTGACACAGTGTCTGGTCCACATTTTCCCCTTGCCACCCTGTGAAGCACCTGGCACGTAATCTTGCTTATGGTGGTGGAGCTTTAAGAAGTCACTTGTTCACAATGCTTAGTTTGAATGAGCATGTCCTAAGTTGAGCTCCTCCTCGTTACTTCCTCCCAAACCCCTGCTCTGCCTGTCATTTTGGATATACTTTTCTTTGCCATACAGAAGACTTTTTTAAGCCAAGAAATTTATCATTTGAAACACATTTTTAAGAGAAAACACAAATACCTCTTGAATTATTTTGAAAGCAGTGATTGACCAAAAATAGAAAGATGACTAGACAAAACTCAGAATAAAAAGTAAAAGAAAATTATGAACAATCTTTGAGTCATTCCATATATTTCAGATGGGAAAAAATAGCCTAAGCAGAGACTACAGAATATGCACTGTAAGTCAGCCAGGCTAAGGAGCATCCCAAAAGAATTGTGGTTTGAAATTAGAAAGTTTTTTTTTTTTTTTTTGGTAGTTTCAATGATTTCTTAAAGAACTTCCAAAGAGTGCCAATGGCTGAAATCTGTACTGTATTATATGTGTTGCTTGATATTGGTTATCAGGGACCTAAAATCAAGAACATTTTGAACTAATTTATTTGTATTAATAAAATCACTGAGTTAATACTACCATCTCTTTATGCTAACAGAAAGGAACATTCTTAAGTGAAAACTCATGTCGCATAATGTAATTTTCAGAGCAATAACAATCTTTAGAGGTCCTCTTATCTGATGTATCATAAAAATTAATATTTGAGTGTTATTCATTACATAAATATATTTATGCTAATTATAGTGAATTTGGAAACTAATGCAAATGCACAAATAACAAAATAAAAATTGGCCTTAAGCCTACCACACAGGGAAGACAATGGTTGAAGTTTTGGAGTCAACTAAATGTCATTTCCTTTTACCTCATGCAAAAAAGTATGTTTCCAAATTTAGAATTGCACAGCTCTCATATTGTTTTGTAAGCTACTTCAGACTTAGTAAAAATTATGAAAACAATTTCAAGTAATTAAGTACCTTACAATGTGCACTTGGCAATTTTATTCTACTCCATATTATGTGTACCACAGATAATGTAATATCCCTTGAAGCCTTTTATTTTACAGGTAGGAGACCGAGATCCACAGAGGTGTAGTCATTTTCCCAAGGTCACACAGCTCTTTTGTTTCAGAGCCAGGATGAGAACTCATGTCTTAGGCACCAAATTCAGCATGTTCAGGACATCAATCCCGAATTTTTAGTTTAGTTATTAGTTGCCACTTGCTTCTATGACAGCCACAATAAGCCATTCAGCTTGAATTTATCTTTTATTCTGTTGTCATAATGACTGTACTTGTTAAGTGCTAATTTTATGCCATACTCTATAAGCACTTTACATAATGATCATATCAACAATCAAGATGCTGAAAAAACCCCAAGACTCAGATGTTAAATCATTTAACTTAACTAGCTAGTGAACGGTGAAGACCAGCTATCAGCACAGATCTGAGTGATATTTTTCAGTAGGTACAAAGCCCTCTTCTATGTAGCTACTTATAATTGTTTGCCCTTAAGCTCCTAAAGGATAAAAGCAATGCCTTATTAATCCATGAATCTGCAGGGCCGAGTAAAAGCCCACAGAAAACAATATAATGTGTTTTGATGGATACATGGATGCATTCATGAAGGCCATGTGATGTTGGACAAATGCTATTCGACTTTGACCCACACGTGGATTATTTCCCGGTTGTTCATTCCTCCTAACAACCCTGCTCTTTCACGTGGACAAATGCAATAGCTAAACTGGTTCCATAATATACGGCCCACTATGAAATGAAAATACAGGGACTTGTTGAAATTTTAATTTTTGAAAGAGAATTTCAAGATGGTGAAAGGAGAGCATTAAACAAAGCAAGGCCCTTCTGAGTGCAGGGCCCTATGTGGATGAACAAGCCACGTGTGGATGAAGCTGGCCATTGCAGTTGCCTCCCAAACAAGTCTTTCTGCATCCATTCTTGTCCCCTTCTAGTCCTTCAGTTGTAGCAGACAATGTTCTTTTGAAATACCCCAACTTATTGTTGCTTAAAAATCCTTTAGTGCATCCCAAACTTTCTTGATTTTTTTACATTTTGTTTTTAATTGACGTGTAATAATTGTACATATTTATGGGGCACAGAGTGATATTTCTTTTTCTTTTTCTTTTTTTAGATGGAGTCTT